AGCAGATGTCGCTGAACCCGGCTCGCCGAGCGTCGCTCGCCGGCGGCTTGTACGTCAACGCGCCCGGCTGTCACGAGGGGAACAGCGCCGGGGAGCGGTTCGACGAGAAGGTCAGCATCCTGAGAACTGTCACGACCGACACGTCTGTCGCTCCGTCCAGTCTCGCTCTCACCCACGTAACGCTGGACGGCCGTTGCATGCCCGAGGCGCAAGAGAACGAGGGCGACATCATTTACGAGGACGAGTACTGTGCAGAGAAGGTGCGCCGGGAAGAGTCGCTGCGGAGGGGGCATCACCACGACGACCACCACCGTCCCACCACCGCATGCACTGTGGTGGCGGGGCTCAGCGCGTGTGCGTCGGACAGAGAGCCCTGCGACGGCGAGGAGGATATTTACGATGATGGGCTGGTCTACGAGGAAGAGGACTCAGCCATGAAGCTACTACGGGACGAGACGTCCTACGTCAATTCCTCTGCTCCTGGCGCGAGCAACGCGGATGCCCGTTTGAACGCAGAGCATCTCAGGACATCACCCCACATAGATGGATGTGACGATGAGCTGATTTACGAAGAAGAGGACTTCGCCACGAAGATACGGCAGAATGAAATGCCGTACGTCAATTCCTCTACTCCCGTCACCAGCCAAGTAACTGCAGGCTTGAACGCAGAGCAGCCCGCGACATCACTCGACATGGATGAGCATGACGACGAGCTCATTTACGAAGAAGAGGACTTTGGCATCGGGCTCCGGAGTAGTAGTCATCGGGCCACTGCTTGCATCATGGTGGGTGTGCCTGGCAAGGAGCACAATGGTGGAGAGGATGACGGCGGTGACAACGGCATTGTCTACGAGGAGGAGGACTTCGCCATGAAGCTACTGGCGGACAACGCGTCCTGCGGCGATTCCACTGCTCCCGGTGCGAGGCAAGAAGGTACGGGCTCAAAGGCACAGTACCTCCGAACATCACGCGCGGATGAAGATGATCAGGAGGAGGTCTGTGATGCAGGCACCTCTGCCGTGAAATTACTGGAGGATGACATGCCGCACGGCAATTCCTCTGCTCTCACTAGCAGCGAAGTAGACGCGGGCTTGAACACAGAGCAAGCCAAAACATTACCCGCCATGGATGAGCTCGACGATGAGCTGATTTACGAGGAAGAGGACTTCGCCATGAAGATACGGCAGAATGACATGCCACACGTCAATTCCTCTGCTCCCGCCACCGGCAAAGCAACTCCAGGCTTAGACACAGAGCCACCCCGAACATTACTAGCGGATGAACTTGATGATGAGCTGATTTACGAGGAAGAGGACTTTGTCATCAAGATACGGCAGAATGACATGCCACATGTCAATTCCTCTGCTCCCGCCACCAGCCAAGTAGCTGCGGGTTTGAACACAGAGCAATCCAAAGCTTCACCCATGGATAAGAATGATGATGAGCTGATATACGAGGAAGAGGACTTCGTCGTGAAGATACACAATTCCTCCGCTCCCGCCTCCAGCCAAGTAGCTGCAGGCTTGAACACAGAGCCACCGCAATCATCACCTGTGGATGAAAATGATGATGAAATCATCTATGAAGAAGAGGACTTCGCCATGAAGATACGCAATTCCTCCGTTCCCGCCACCAGCGAAGTAGCTACAGGCTTGAACACACAGCAACCGCAAACATCACCCGACATAGATGAACATGACGATGAGCTGATCTACGAGGAAGAGGACTTCGGTACCAGGTTACTGGGTCGTGGCTCTGAGCAGATGAGCCAGGCGTCGTCGACAGCGAGCACTAACATCGCAAGAAGCCCTGCACCGAGCCGCGACGGCAGCGTTGCCGAAGACATATACGACGACGACATTGATATTGCCGTACGTGTCCGCACCGATGACGCAGCCGCTTGCGCTGCTGCAGCCTCGGAACAGCACGGCTCCAGTCGGGGGCTCGACGGCGACACGCCAGCGTTGCCCGTTGCACGGAATACGCAAACGGCCGACGAATCGGCAGCAGTACCGCACAGTACCCGACAGAGCAAGCCGCTTGTCAGCCCGCCGAAGGGCACAGCAGGCCGTCGCTGGATTGCGCCCAGTCGTATCAAGGGTAAGCAAATATACACATGCATACAGTACTGCTACTACTGACGCTACTAATGCTGCTCAATGAAATCCAGTCACAGCGTCACTCAGGTACGCGCCGGGTGTTGCACGGCCCTAGACCTGCGAACACTGGGCTGCGAAAAGGTGTAAGGCACGGACTTGAGTGACGGTTTAGTTCCGGAACGTTTTCTTGTCACATTAATTTTATTAATTGAATCTCGTGAGTGACAGGAAACAGATAACCAGCAGAAGGATAGTATACACTTGAGTTCTAAAGGGTTAAAAGGTTGCAGGTTTTCGTTTCACATTACTATCCTAAGGTTGCACTTGTAACACCCTTCGCATTCCCCTGATAATCTTTTACGAATGGTTGTCACGTATTGTTAACACTGTATAAACCCAGATTTCGGCACCGGTGAGTTGCCACTTGACTATAGCTAGGATGGTTTGTTGTTTTGCGTGCTCCGTTCTACACACGGTCTGTTCCTGCAGGCGCCATGCGCTCAGTGTTCGACAGGCTGCCGATGCCGAAAGTCAATCGTCACGGCAACGGGGCAGCAGCCGGCGGCGGCGACGATGATGACCTGCAGGCGGACGACAGCGTTTCCATGACGTCCAACACTCTGATGAGCGCCACTGGCGTTGTCGAGGGAACGGACCGGCCCAGCGACGGTGCTTACAGTGGCAGCGGCGGCGGTGACAAAACAAATCCCGCTGTGTCGCCGTCAGCCGATTCGAATGAGACGATACACGGCGAGAACATTTACGAGGATGAGGGCTTTGCCGCGTCCATTCTGAATGCCGGAGAGACGGCTCATGGCGCGGCTGACAGAGCCGCAGAGATGGTACTGCCATCACTAGACGCCCTCAAAGCCATTGCCTGTGTTCAGAGTCAGCAGCAGATTACGCCGGAAGGCTCGGACGACGAAGCCGTTTACGAGGGTGATGGCTTTTCAGCAGCGCCACTGCCCGGCCCCAGAAAGGCTTCGCTGCCATCGAACGTGTCGGTAACGGCAACAGGCGCAGCCGAGGCCGACACAAACGAGTGCATTTACGAGGACGAGAACTTTGGAGAGACTCTCCTGGCCGCCACCAATCAGCCGCAGGGAACGACGACGGCGGCTGATGTTAAAGCAAGTGTAGACGAGTGCATATACGAGGATGAAGACTTCGGAGAGTCCCTCCTGGCTAGCGAACAACAGCTGCATTCCAAACCCCAGCCATCAACGTTAGTTGCAACACAGCATGCTGACCTTTTACAACGGCAGGGCAGGTCCTCAACAATTGAAGACGAACTGGAAGAATGCATATACGAGGATGAAGATTTCGGAGAATCTCTACTGGCTAGCGAGCAGCAGCTTCATTCCAAACCCCAGCCACCATCATCAGTTGCAACACAGCATGCCAAACTTTCACAACAGATGGGCAGATCCTCAACAATTAAAGATGAACTGGAAGAATGCATATACGAGGATGAAGATTTCGGAGAATCTCTGCTGGCTAGCGAGCAGCAGCTTCATTCCAAACCCCAGCCACCATCATCAGTTGCTACACAGCATGCCGAACTTTCACGACAGCAGGGCAGATGCTCAACAATTGAAGATGAACTGGAAGAATGCATATACGAGGATGAAGATTTCGGAGAGTCCGTACTAGCTAGCGAGCAGCAGCTGCATTCCAAACCCCGCCCATCACCATCAGCTGTCACACAGCATGCCGACCTTTCACAACGGCAGGGCAGGTCCTCAACAATTGAAGACGAACTTGATGAATGCGTATACGAGGATGAAGATTTCGGAGAGACTCTGCTTGAGAGGGGGCAGATGTGTGTTGAATCCAATCCATCACCGTCACCCACACGGCACAATGACCTCATCCGGGCGGGCAGATCGGCAACAGTCGAAGACGAATTGAACGACTGCATCTACGAGGATGAAGATTTCGGAGAGTCCCTCCTCACAAACGGACAGACGCATGCCGAAACCAATCTTTCTCCATCACCCTCTCGGAGCTCGGACATTCAGCAGATGGACAGATCACGAACAGTTGAAGTGGAATTGGACGATTGCATCTACGAGGATGAGGATTTCGCACAGGATTTGCTCCAAACTGG